TTTTTTTTTTTTTTTTTAAATCATGTTCTCTGCTGTCTCCACCCAGCCCCTACTAACAGTACTGCAGAAGAAGCTGCAAGATGATTTGTAAAAGATGATGTAAAGTAAGACCAATTTATCAATCTTTAATTGACTGTTTCTGATTTCCTTATGATAGCACGTCCTGGAGCATGGAAAGCCACTTGAGCGATCTGCTATAATTCAAGAATTAACTGGGAAGATAGTTCAAATGAGTCAGCAGAAGTTTGCTTCGAATGTTGTTGAAAAGTGCTTGACTTTTAGTGATTCAAATGAGCGTCAGCTCTTGGTGAATGAGATGCTTGGAACAACTGACGAGAATGAGCCTCTGCAGGTTTGTTGCAGCCTTATTTACTTCCTATGTTGTCTCGATACATCTAAAAATGGTCTGCTTCACGTTTGTCTCTTCACTTCCAGATATCATGTTATCTTGAATGGCTTCAAAGTTTTGTGTTTACTTCTGAGCTAGCTACAGAGTTTGGATTGTACATCCGCACCAGACCCTCTAATCTCCCACCCATCGGGCATGTGTGTTGTTTATTGTGTATCTAAAGGTGTGTGGGATGGGACCTGGAGAGAATTTGACTTTGTAGTCATAAATTTGTCACCGGTGACCTCATTTTGTCTTGGTAATTCAAGAAGTTAATACATTGGTGGTAAAGCTTCACGTAATTCTCCATATGTTTGAAATACTTTTGTTCAAGGAAGCTTGGGAGTTTGTTCTTGTTACATGATAGTATTGAATCTCTCCCCCCCCTCTCTCTCTCTCTCTCTCTCTCTCTCTCTCCCTCTCACACACACACCCACACACACACANACACACACACACACACACACACACACTGGATGTAAGGAATTTGTCCATTTTTCGGGGTCTGGAGTTTCAATTTAACACTTGATATTTTTATTTTGTTGCAATCATGTTCTTGTAAATTATGTCAGCAAATGGATGAAAGTATGTGTTCATTTGAGTGCACTAATGTAAAAATATAAATGCCTGTAATTTAATTCCTTGAGAGGACTGAGTACCTATACTGCATGTTCTCTCTTGCACATGAGGAATTAAAATTGCATTCGTTACATATATAGCTAATGCATTTAATACATTTGCATATTTAATATTCTTAACCATTTTCCCCGTTCCCTGAAGGAAATTTACCAAATTGAATGAAAATGTGACAAAATCTAAACATGAACAAATGTGTTGAAATTGAAACTCAAGGGACTAAAATGAGTTCTTTTTTGAAGCTTTAGTGGTTGGGTTGTATATGTGATTATCCTCACAACAACAGTCAGAAATTCAGGAACCTATAGCATGTCATATTCAGGAAATCTTGGAGGGAGGGAGGGAGGAATTTGGAATAGAAATTTCAGATGTATAGTTCATAAAATGGGTGTGAAGTCAACAATTCTGAATAACTACATAGTAAAGAAATTTATGCGGAGTGTCTAGCTTGAAGAAAGGTTTGGTGTTTGGGGCTGTTGGGAAACAATTTAAACTTCCAGTTCTGGACATAAACCATGAAGAAGATACACGAACATTGGAACTCCTCGATTACCTTCCTACGTTGAATCTTGAAGCAGATTCATAAATGTTTGTACACATTTATTACTTACCACAGAATCATGAACAAGTAACATGCTTGTACTGGTAGATTTATTTATGCAATCATTGGATATAGAATTCATCCACACACATTAAATATAATGCTCTTACTACAAGTATAGGTTTGTGAAACGAAAATATGAAAAAACAGTGAAGCAAATTGATGAAGAAATGCACTTTGTTCAAGATAATAAATTGTTTCTATTGTATCTCTTCTAACACAACAATGCTTAGAAATTCAGAAAACCTATGGCAAGTCATATTTCAAAAGTCTTGAGAGGAAGGAAATTGAATGAGAAAAAATAAAAATTGTGAAAGACTCGTATCCTTTCTTTTTGGCTTTGAGGGAAGGGGAGAGAAAAGAAGATAAGCAGGGTGGTGGACGAATGAATAGAATGTAAAAGAAGTATTTCGGGAAAACCAATCTTGCGAATAAAACTCATTGTGGTACTTGCACACTGTTATGTTTCCCGATGACTGTTCTGAATTGTCTTTTTGGTAGTTTTACAAGCGATGAGAAAATTATGCCAATTTTCCTTGTTCTCCCCTTCGGAGAACTGCTAGAAAGAGGACATGTACACCTCACATCACCTCTCTACTCCAAAACCCACAGAAATATTTACTTTTAATTTTTGAGAACTAGATTTTGAATTTTAACAGCTTGATTTGTACGAGTGTTGATTTGAGTTACTGCGTGGGAATATAAGAAGTTCTGGAGATTAGATTTATGTTTTGGAATGATCTTCCATCTTCTGCTGTCAGTCGGCTGAACACATCTTAAGAAAATGAATTATTAAAGGAAGTGAAAAGAGAGCATGCATAGATGTATTGGATGAAGAATGATATTTATCTTGAGACATGTACAATATTCTTTTGATCCATACTGTAATGAAAAAGAGGATTCCTCTTGAACACGTCTTAAGAAATTAAAATAGTGAAAAGAGAGCATGCATAGATGTATTGAATGAATAAATATTTTATATTGAGATAAGATGTGTACAATATTCTCTCAGATACAGAATATCGATGAAGCTTGATCCGTACTGTAATGGAAAATCGTCTTTATTCGGATCACACTTGTGATATATGGTATTTGATGTGTCCCCATAAACAATTTTTTCTTGAATGGCGGTTAGATAAACTTGAATCTGACTCTTGGGCATTCATAGTTCTGCATAGCAAAGAAGCATCATGAGAATTTCTGGGGGAAGATTTGGTGAGTAATATCAAGAAAGTTGAGAATACGTATGTGTTGGTTGTTAGTTACAGATCTATGGATAGATTTGAGGTCCACATTCTATATTTTTCAGCTTGTGACCTCTGATTGATTTTTTCGCACTATATTTTTATTCATGCAGTTGAACTTATTTTTTCCTCTTTTTTTTCCGATATTTATCATGCGTCCAGGCTATGATGAAAGATCAATTCGCAAATTACGTTGTACAGAAAGTACTTGAGACATGTAGTGATCAGCAGCGTGAGCTGATAATGTCAAGAATAAAAGTTCATCTGAATGCACTGAAGAAGTACACATATGGGAAGCATATTGTAGCCCGTGTAGAGAAACTTGTTGCAGCTGGAGGTGAACTTTTCTTTGCTCTTTCTTTTATTTCTCCATCCATTTCTTAATAACCAAATGAGGCTAAAATCTTTTTCATTTCACCGCTGAGTACGCAGAAAGGAGAATTGCTGCCCAGTCTTCACATCCTGCTTAGATGCTCTAGGAAAGAAAGTTGCTGTACAGCTAACCGAGGCTAGTTTGAGCTGCCTCTCTCTCTCTCTCTCTCTCTCTTTCTTCTCTTTCTTCTGTATGTGGTGCTCTGCTCTTACCTGTTTCAAGAAGGTATGAGCGAATTGCAAATAAAGGTGTTGCCTGCACTAAAAACTAGAACTGTACATTCTGTAGTTTTGAGTTTATACATAGTCTAGTAAGCTGCGGCTCAGAGGTTGAAGGATCTTGGTGCTCCACTGCCAAGAAATGACAAAAGACGAGTTTTAAGGGTGTAAAGTTGATAAAAGGGTGAGGTAGTATACATTGCTGCGTGACTGTACAAATGATGCCATGTGGAGAGTTGGTTATCTGGGTGAGGCCAAGGCTATCATGTATGCTATTTTCTGATTTAGCCGATACATTCAGTTCTTCAAATTTGCTCATATTCTGGTGTTTTGGTGTGCTTTGGTTTTATTGCTTCTAGCATGCATCTGAATTCTTCATATATTGTGCTGTTTACTTGTTTATCGCTAAACGCGCCATGTTTTAATTTCGTCTGGGATGAGCTCTCGACAGTGTTGTTTTGTTGCCTACCTCCTTCCTAGTTGTTTGTCTTTATAAATGTCTACACACACCCTGTACTTGCATTGTAACTTGCCTTTGCTAGCCTGATTGTAGTCGAAATATCTCCGCCAAGTTCACCTGAATACTTGATAATTTGGTGAAGCAAAGTACAAGAATGCAAGGAACTAGACTTGAACTTGCAATTTATTGGAAAAATTAAGTTCGTGTCGCTTGAAAGAACTTGATAATTTTGATTAGGTTTAAGCGCGGTGTGGTTTGGGTCAGTTTCGACTCCAACCCGAAACCAAAACCAAATTAGTCGGTTTGAGTGAATTTCAATCCAAACCAATCCACTTCAGCTTTAAGTCGAATCGATTCAAACAAAATTTTCTTGGTTCGATTGGTTCGGTTCACTTAAGTCAGTTTGAACTTTTAGTCCAAATTGAGTTCTTTAAAAAAAAAAATTGATTGGGTTTTGGGTCCACTTAGATTACAAAAATTAAAATAACTAAATACTTCTATATTACATAAACTATTGACTAACAAATAAAATTAAGTTAATAGAGATGAATAAATATAAAATTTAAGAATTTTGTTGCTTTTTATGGATTATGTAGCTTGATCGTCTAAGTAGGAAAAATGCAAAGTATAACATAATGAGTTTGTGAAAGGAAATTCTCAATGCTATTATTTGCTGGCAACCTCATAGATTGGTTGGAATCGAGATATAGATATGGAATTTGGACTTATCTTTTGATTTTTATTTTTCTTAAAAATAAAATGGTAAACTTGTAAGTGGTTTGTGTCGGTTAAATTAACCAGTTGTTTCAATCGGTCCATCATGGTTTTGTTTTAAAAAAAAAGCCAAACCAAACCAATTATCTTGTCAAACTTATTTGAACCGGCCCAAGTCGATTCGATTTGATTGGTTTGATCGAGTTTTTGGTTTTTTTTGGCTTAGGCCTAATTTTGATAGGCTTGAGCATTCTTTTATCCTAGGAATGTTTTATGAAACTTGCCTTACTTTAAAAAATGTAAAGCGTGATCAGGTGTGAACGTGAGGTTTCAAGCCTTACGAGCTTCGGCAAGCATAGTTGAGGCTTAAGCGTAAAAAAATGTTTTCTTATTTTTAATATTATTTTAAATTTTTAATCATTTTAAAAATCATTTAATCATTAAAATAATACAATATCAACGTCTAAAATTATAAAATATTATATTAACTTAATAATTCCTATAATTAGTCAATTATACAATTTTCAAGTTTTTGAAATATAAAAGTTAGAATGTTTTTCATAGCTTGTATTTGACACTCATTTTGAGGAAAGAATATATTTTGGAATAGTGATTGATGGAAGAATGTATGATTAAAAAATAAGGAGATTTTTTAGGTTTATGTGTAATATTATTTTATTGAAAGAATGTGTTGTTAAAATGAAAAAAAAATAATAAAATGGATGTCAAACAGGGACATAGTTTCAATTTTCAACTAGACAAGTCTTATTTAATAATTTATAAGAACTTTATACATGCTTTTAGAGTTTGCAACAAAATAACGAGAGTCAAGACCATAATTATATAATGTAGATAGCATCACAATTTAAATCTTATTTAATTATTTAGATAAAGTCATTTTTAACTTTTGTACACAAAATCTTTTAAAAACATGAAATTAAAGTCAAATGAATTTTTAAAAAATTAAAAATTATAAGCTAAAAGTCAAGTAAAAGAATTTTTTTAAAAAAAGGAAAATTTTAAAAATTAATAAAGCGCGTCTAGGTATAAGAAAGAGAGGACGAAAAAAATTCAACCGTTCAAGAATTAAAAAAAAAAGTGTCTAGACGTGAAGCGAGACGCGATATAGGCGAGTGTTTTCGGACACTACTTGGAAGTAGAGAGAACCAAGCTCGCTTATGAAATACAGAGATCCAAACTTGCATTCTTTAATGGTAATCCAATAGGTTGAGACTTTTTATTGGTATATTAGCGACCCTCGCATGGACGAAGTATCCATTTATCATGGGCCCACACATGATTATCACAACGATCATGCTAGTGGTACATCGAGAGTTACATCGGAGATTACAGATCCCCTCACATGTGGGTGGGATCCACTCGAATAAAAAAAATATTATTTCAGTGGGTCCCACTTTCCATGTGAGGGAGGTGTAACCCTTGATGTACAACCATCATTATCTTTATCCCAACTCTCCTCTTTTGTTTATTTTCTTTCAATTAGGAAGCTTGGATACCATCAAGATATACATCATCTCTAATGTGTCGAACCCACATCAAGTGGAGTTTTATACTCCCCTTGGAGAGAGTTTATCATGACATTTCACCATTCAGGGGCGGATCCAGAAAAAAATTGGACACGGGCTAAAACACAAAAAAAAAAAAATATATTACTAATTTTTTTACTTAGGATTTGGGCTGGAGGGACGGACTGTAGCAAAGGCTGGCATGTCCCTGGATTCGCCCGTGTCGCCATGACAATTACCTACAGTTCACATACTAGTTCGAATTTGAGGTTCCAATTTGAAAGGTTAAGGGGTTGTTCTCTTTGTGTTTTGAATTCGTTTTGTATTTTGAGTGTATGTTTTGAAATTTCTGAAAATGCGTTCTGTTTGCCATTCTGAAAAACTGTTTCTGGAAACATGAAAATGGAAAACGTGGTTTACTTTGAAATTTTGAAATTTTTTTAAATAATATTTTATTCAAAAAATCTAATTATTCAATAAATTTTAATAGTTTAATATTAATATATTATTAAATAACATATAAATTTTGAAATTGGTGAAACTTCAAATGTTTTTTTTTTCAGACATTACAAACACAACCTAAATTACATTTGACAAAATAGTTCAATCGATACGATTAGAAGTTTACGTGTCATGATAAAATAATCTTACACTGAATAAAATATAAAATAAACAGTTCAATCAATATGATTTGAATTTTGAGGTTGATTCTTTTCACGTGTCAAACTTTATAGGTGTATAATAATTCTACTCTTATTGTAACACAAGTTTTGTTAGCGGAAGAGCGGAGTACAATGTGAAACGATTGCATGTATTGGTCTAAAAAAGTCTATTTACCATCGTCGTTAATGATAATAAATTACATTACAGAATCCTGTTTCTTTTCCAACAAGATGATTACAAACATTCAACAAGTTCAATTTACCAATCAATCAAACAAGTGGAACTAGATTCTTACACGACTTTCAATAAAATTGCTAACCTTAAAGTATCATATCACGGAAATACAACACAAGAACTAAACCCAAATCATTGTTCGTGTTACAATTTCAGTACATGATACGTGTGAATGTTGTTATTGTCTCTCCCAAAGGATTTGCTCATCAATCTTGTTCAGCATCCCACCATCAAGTCGTTTCCATGTCTTGATCTTCTCTACTCCATTCCATGACTTCTCCCCTTTCCTCAGTTCTGCCAAAATGATTCTTGCCCTCCTTGGCCACCCGGTAACACCATAACCGTGGTATCCAAACCCTCCGCCATAACAAAACCATATGTCGTGATCGTGACCTATGAATCAATAACTATGAAAAGAGTGTGGAATTTCACATAGATAGACAATTGGTCTATGTTCCTGGAAAAGATGCACCACGAAGTCAAGAAACAAATTTAATGTAATCAACAAACTATTTATTGATGCTACCCGAACTTGTGTCTCAAAGCTTACAGGAAACAAACTATCTATGGAGGAAGCTCTCTGTTAAAAGCAGTAACCCGCTTCTGTGTCTTGTTCCTGTGAAACAATTTTATCAATATCCATCATAAGATTTTTTATCCATACAAAGAACAATGAAAGTAATGGTAGAAAATTTCAAAGTTGATGCATGAAGTACGAATGGTATAATCTAGTTTCCCTTAAGATACCTGCACTATTGAGGAAAACATATATAATGTCTTATCCGTCTTCTATAAGTAATGTACCATCAATTATGCAAGTAATGAGGTCCAGACTCTAACTTAATTAGTTAACTAATGGATCAAAGTGTTTTCCATCAATTTATTTTGTTAGTTAGTGATTCGCCGAGACTAATATTATAAGTTTAAGCAGATGTGAGATAGACATTATCTCTTCAACATTCTTCATTTGGATACCAACGATCTTGAGTTAAGAGATATGTTGCTCCTCCCAAACAATTGCACCAATCGGTATAATAATGGGATTACAGTGTTTAAGAAAACATGAAATACAGAAACTTTTTAAGTTCTCAAACATCTAATTTTACTTCATTGGGTAAATGCATGAGTATGTTGTAGTGTGTAATAAAAATAAGGAATACAGAAATCTTCCTATATGCATGAGTGTGCACGAGTAAATGCAGTGATGCACAGAAGCAACGATCAGATTGCTAACCTGAGCCAAAACCCATCCTACAGGCCAATCCATGTCACTTCTATGATTGCATATGATGAGTGCATTTCCTTTACCTAGAAAGTTCACCAACATAATTCAATAATTCTCAAGTGAGACAAGCAAAGTACTTCATCCTTCACCAGGCAGAAGAAGTAAATTGAATTCTAGAAACACAAGTTTTATCCTTACCCATCAATTTAAAGGTTTCAGAATCTGTGTATAATTGGATCTGCGATCAGAAGAGTTGAGAGATTAGACTGTCGGATGATTCTGAAGAAATGATAAAATTTCAAAATTGAA